ACTGAATTACTCGCGGCAAAGTGCATCGAACAGAACTGTCGACCTATATATAGTGTTACAATAAAGTTTAGCCGAAGTGAAAATTAATTTTAAACAATACGCATCGATATCTGAACCGTCGACCGGATATTATTAGTTCGAAAATAAGTTGTGCCTGAGTTAAAGTTTTTAAAAATTATATGGCCATCAGTTTGAAACTTCAGTGCCTCGCGCCCGCTATATATTAATATATTATAATATGATAAGGGTCAAAATTCACCGATACAAAATTAAATTCCAACGTTCGTGACATTTTCGCATTCCATAACTCCGCGAATCCTATACCGAAAATCAGCGATACCTAAAACACTGACAGATAAAATGTTCGACGGCATATAATATAATTTTTCATAGTTATAGTAGTTATAAGATTTTATAAATCGCGTTTTTTGTAGGCAGCTATAGGTACAATCGAGCTTGTGAAATGTTCAACTATACTACAAAATATATGATATTGCTAAGTTTCAATATTCAATAAACCTATCATAAATACAACGCGTCGATCAGCAGTAGTATCATCGTGTAAAGCCATGCATTTTTTTTTCGCTCTTATAGTTTGCATTTGTTAACCATATAGCATAACGAACAGTCAAGCGAAAAAAAATCKGAATCGATAACCGCCGCCATGGCGTAATATTACGAAGAATATCTTGGAACCTAGAAAAGATAATTGGTATACACATTAGCCGTTATGTCTGTATATTAGTATGATTCAATAAGTGGTTTTATGATTTTATTTTTTGTCTAACTACATTTCAAAGTCTCGACGGTCAATTCCTCTCGGGTATTCACTTTAAAATAATTTTAAAAAGGTTGTATTATGTATCTGTCTAGGGGCGTAATTAAGGGTCGATGAGAAGGATAGACTCCCCCCAAAACTTTTATTTTACTGCTAACATTTTATATTTAATGGTGTAGGTTWGGTATGATCCCTCCCCCCAAACAAAATTCCTAATTACGCCACTATGTCCGTCAAAGAAAAAATCATTCGATTGCACGAAACATAATGTTATTATAATGAATTAAGAGGACACTCACAAATTTTTCTTGTGAAAAACGTTTTGCTTAAAAAATAACCACTTTTGGGCGGGCATACGCAGTCATATATAATAGTCAAACAACTAAATATTTTATACACAAAAAACAATACAATATATTATCAGTCATATACCATTTTTTTGCTTTTTGTTATAGTTGGTGTAACAAAAAAGTTATTTAAGTTTGAAAAACCCACGAATAATACCGGATTTAAAATAATAATAATAACTTTTACGCCGCCCCCCCACCCAGGCATGGCAGAAATCTACGGGTGCGCATTCGAAATTTTGTCAAAACATACACGAGTACCAAAACCAACAGTTCCCTCCCCGACAGTTCCACAGGCTAATGGTCCTTGTTTTCAAAGCCTCAACCCCCAATAAAAAAAGAAATAACTTCTAGATTCTCAGTGGAGCGATTATGTGTATTTTTATTTTGTCTAGAGAAACTATTTATAGTCAAAAAATGTTCCAATCATCGACTTCGAGTAAGGTTTCTGGTAGAAAATTGAATGTTGTTTATACTTTTAACAATCATAAATAT